GGTATATTCTTTGTGTGTATGCAAAATAACTACATGATTAAAACATTGTGGAGCGCAAGTAGTTTTTAATCTCCTTAACGTTGAAAATGTATGCTCAGCTGTAGCTGATGTTAACAGAGTTGTTAAATAAAGAAGTAGAAGCTTGTGTATTTCTAAAAAAACTAATAAAAGTGTGTTCTTAGAAGTTAAACTAATGTATTAATTGTTTTACAAAACGAATCATCACACAATATGCACACATATAAGGATTACCTAAACTAAAGTCTATAGTGTTGATAATAGTAATGCATGTACATCACTTAAAGTTGGAGGGGCTAAGCCCCCCTTCAATGAAAGTTGGGGGGGGCTTAAGCCCCTCCTGCCCCCCTGTTCCTACCCCTATGGACAGGTGACTTTCTCAAGACTTTTCTGAAGAATATCCCTGCCATTCCCTGGATATCTATTTTTAACCAGTAACACGGAGGGTGGGTCTGGCCACGCGAGACTATAACGTAACACGCCTATGTTTTTTAACAATTTTTGTTGTCTCATTGAAATGTTAAGGAAAGGATCACGTGATACCTGGTCGTTTTCAAATTTCCAACCCTGTTGTATACTGTATCTATGGCCTGACTAATCAATGCGCATTACTTTTGCCACTGTGAAAAGGCCTTTAGTCAGTACTTTGACCATTTATAAATCTAGATCTAATATTTAAAAGTCCAATTTCATCATGCTAACTCTAACTGCAAACTGTCTTGGCCGTGTGGTGTGTAAGTTACTACTGAGCTGAGCCAAGAAGTAACTGTAGCTCCAACCTGCAGGCTGCATCACATCATAAATTTTGGAGAGTAAATCAGTCGTGACGCCAACGGTACCGGAAGTCATAAGAGCCTGTATAATTTTATTGTAATACACTTGACAGTGTGAATAATTAATGAGTTGCTACTTTATTTTATATTTATTTTTCATTTAATAGTTTTACTATGAAATTTGCATACAATACACAGAACATGCATATTTATCACCATAAAAAACATCAACCAGTTTAAATAAACTATAACAGAACTGCAAGCAACTGATGTCCTTGACTTTACCGGATGCGTAGTGTTCTAGACAATTCCAGCTTCTTGTCCATTTGCTTACAACAAGATAGTAGCTAGAAGAATATACTTCAGAAGTTTAAAGTTGTTCCAGCAAGAAATAAGGATGCTGTGGTCTCTGAAAGTCAATGGCACATAATATGACTATAATGACAAGTATAAAATCTAGCTCTAAAAGGATTTCAAACAATTCTATTGAGGTAAAATGACTTGATTAATGATCCTGAATGTGGAATCTGTAGAAAAAAGGAACAGAACAGTCAAAATATGGCATGAAAGAATGGACCATGCAGGCTGAATCTACATTATGGATGCAACTGTCGTTCTAGACAACAGTATCAAAACGAAACTTTGCATACACAAAGATCTACTGATAGGCCAGTTGCATGCCTAATTCTGAGCTGTTCTGGCCAGTCCCAGTACTATTATATGCCTAGATAGTGTACACCATTTTCCAAACAGCGACAATAACAAGCAAAATATACTTACATTTCAGACTAAAAACTAACCAATTGATTCTATACCTTTTTGCTTCAAGTTTGAGTTTGCTTCTTAGAGCTATAGACTACCCACCATCTTGTAAACTGCACAAAACTAAACACAGCTTTAGCCATCACTTGGCAGCCAATATGACGTCTCTTGGAAAATAAAATTCACGTGAGCTTACCGTTGGCGTCGCGACTGAGATAATCCTATTTATGAGTATGATCCATTTCCCATAAATATCTCGTCCGAGATCACATCCGCGTTAAAAAATCCCACCATGCAGACACGCCCTTGTTATTGCTTTTAAAATTCTAACGGATGATGGCACAAAACCAAAAAAGTGAATCCAGATCTAGCCTATGTTGCAATGCGTTTAGCAAAAGAGATCATAAGGAAGCAGTAGAGTTACTACAATTACAGGATCCTAGTGTACTTTACCAGTGTGAGCGTACATTACTTTATTATTCCATAAGGAATGGATGGTTCGATGTTACAGTTGATCTCATCACTAATTATCAATTTAATTCACAAAGTGCTAACTACTGTAATTATCTTTATACAGCTATTAAAGGTAATCACATTGATATTGTTAAATATCTTCTAAAAGAATGTCAATGTGATCCGATGTTGATGGTGACTGCAGGTGAGTACGGCGGTAAAATACATGTTCTTCATTATGTAGCTGGTGAGGGATTGCTTGATGTCTTGAAGTGTATGGTAATGAGCATCAATGGTCATATCATGGATAAACAATATCATAATGCTCGTGGTCAGACTGTTCTTCATTATGCTGTTGGACACATAAATGTTGTAAACTATCTCATTAATGAATGTAACTGTGATATAATGGCTCCTGATAAAATGGGAAATAATACTTTACATATTGCAGCTCGTAACGGATTACTCAATGTTTTGAAGTACTTTGCTCACATGTGCAATCCATTGACCACTAACAAAAGTGGACAGAATGTTCTTCACTGTGCTATTGAACACATAGATGTTGTAAAATATCTTGTTTCTGAGTGCAGCATCAATATAATGATCACCGATAATTTTGGACGAATACCACTTCATTATGCTGCCAGTTTGGGTATTGCTGAAGTTGTAGAATACTTACTGTTAACTGGCAAATGCAATCCTTTGGCCAAAGACAAAAAGGGAAAAACACCATTGCAACTAGCTAAAGAGAAGTCAAAAAGTGAAGTCATTATAGCTATTTTCAAAAAGTTTGGTAGCATTAAAATATCTCATCCAATTGATTCATATGTTAACATTCTCCTTGTGGGTAATCCTGGAGCTGGTAAAAGTACTCTTAGTCATGTCATCAATGATACAGCTACTGGTTCTTTTGTTCTTGGTTCCTTTAGAAATGTCAAAGGAGTAGAGCCCCGTACTGCTGGCATCATTCCTACAAATTTACAACACTGCACACTGGGTAACATCATTCTTCATGATTTTGCTGGTCATTCAGAATTCTACTCCAGTCACAGTGCTGTCATTGAGAATCTGTTACAAGGTTCTGGTGGTGTGGTCCTGATAGTAGTTAATATACTGGAGAACGAAGCAGTCAAACAGCTTCATCAATGGCTAACAGTTGTGAGAAATGAAGCACAGAAAGCTCTTGATCGATCCCATGTTATTGTGATAGTCAGTCATGTGGATGAGATAAGTAATCCTATTGAAAGGAGGAGAGAGGAAGAAATACAGGAGGTTATTGTAAGTGAAACGTGTGATAGTGTCTTTTTAGATTGCCGTAAGCTTGGAGGGAATTTTGTGGATTCTTTTTTTAGCAAATTGTCTAGTGCCTGTGAGTTCATTCGTAAAAGAAGAAAGAATATATCAAGTTTTTATCATCACGAAATTTACCGACTACTAAAGGAAAATAAAATGAAAGTACTGAACCTTAATAATGTAGTTAAATTAGCTAAAAAACTTGGTGATCATTACATTTTGCCACATGACAAAGATGAAATAAGTGAGCTTCTTCATTCATTAGACACAATTGGTTTGATCAGTGTTCTTAAAAGTGAAGACAAGGTATGGGTTGTTGTGAATAAGGGTATACTACTAACTGAGGTAAATGGGATTCTCTTTGCTCCAGAGACATTCAAAGAACACGTTGAGATTGCTAGCAATACTGGTATTGTTAGTGTGTCTGGTCTGACTAGACACTTCCCTAAATATGACCCTGACATGTTGATTCATTTTCTAAAGAAGATGGAACTCTGTGAAGAAATTAATCCATCTTTCCTAAGAATGACAAACCTCCATCAGTTAGCAGTGGAAGAGGAGGAGGAGGTAGGGACAGAAAGAAGAGGAGAAAGGTTGTTGCACTTTCCATGTCTTTTGTCTACTGATAGACCTGATGAGATGACTAGTCAAGTGTACCAGTTTGGTTGGTGTCTACAGTGTACTAGTAAACATCATTTCTTTCCTCCTCGATACTTCCATGTCCTCTCATTACGTCTTGCTTACAAAATGGCTCTACCTCAAGAAAATGACAAGTTAAATCGTTACTGTACATTTTGGAAGAATGGACTTTATTGGTTTAATGGTCATGGTGTAGGATCACTGGTAGAGATTGTGGATGAGAGCCAGTGTGTACTAGTAATGATGTCCTGTGAGAAAGGTTACAGTGACAATATGGTGTCTCTAAGAAGAGATGTGATAGGAGAAGTAATGAGGGTTTATAAAGAATCCTGTCTCAGTCTAGAGGCAAAAGAGTTAGTTATTGATCCTAAAGATCTAGCCTATCCTGTGAATACACCAAGAGAAAGGACAGTGTATAGTGTAAAAGCTGTACTCTCAGCAGTAGTTGAACAACGACCATTTCTTGTTACCACTGGTACTAGACGTACAGAATTGAAGAAGATCCTACCTGATGAATCATTATCAGATATTAATAACCAGTCACTATTAGGAGGACGTGATATTAAGGTAACAATTAACACATACAAACTGATTGATCCATCAAAATACTATGACTTCTTGGTCATAATTGTGATTATTGGTTGTCATAGTGTGCATGGCTTTTATATACTTTTAGATCTGTGAAACTCACCTTTCAGCAATACCTTGACAGTGACAATTATCATTAACTATTATTATTATTGTATAGGAAGTGATTGAAATAAAGCATAATGTATTCAACACAGATGTCACTCCAATAGAGCTAGGTATGTTATAATATGTACTATCACAATTGTCAAGTAGTAGGAGTGTAGACTGTACAGTGTATATACACATTATTAATTATTATATTTATAGATATTAAAGATCTTGATATTGTCATTGAAGAGCTAACAATACTCAATCAATTGGATTGCACTAAATGGATTCAGTTTGGACTTCATTTAGGATTATACGAGCCTAGACTAAAGGCTATAGATACTGACTATAGAGGAAAGACAGTGGAGTGTTTCCGTGAGTGTATGTCTGCCTGGTTAAGAGGAGAAGATAAAGTGAGAGAGAAAGGAGGTCCCAGTTGGTCATCATTAGCTACAGCACTGGATACAATAGAAGAGAAATCTATTGCTACTAACATTAGAGATAAATATTGTACATCAAACCAGTTGATTGCTTAGTTCTTTTTTTTATTGAAATTTTTTTTTTCTATTATCACTTATTGTGTTAAAATGGCTGCCTATAGTATCTTACTTTGTTCTGTTCTGTTTATAACTATTATTATTATTAATGATACATTATTACAAGCTAAATGTAAAACATTAAGGGGACGAGCCAAGCAAAGCAATATACATCATTATTACTATTTACGTCTGTCTGTTGCTAATAAAAAAGTTTGAGTTGATTACGACAACAAACTTTTGTGCAATGGACAATTTTTGAATTACTACATCACTACCAAACGTGTACACTAGCATCGTTACTATAAATAGTATCAATTACTACAATAGACAATGATATATCATATACTACAATAGCATAGTCTCAATCAATAGCATTGTACTATACATAGTATCAGTGTTACTATAAATAGTATCATTTACCTCTATTCCTAAGGAAGAATGACACTATGTCTCAGTTCCAGTCTCCAGTGCATTGAGTGGGAGGGAACATTGATCCAATGAATTAAGAGACACTCCTAGATCAGGAGAGACCAAGATTTTATGAAATGATGACAAAAACAGAGTTTGTAAGAGAGAGGGACCATCTAAACATGGGCAGAATAGGAGGTATTTTAATTTATATTCCATCATAAAATTGTAAATATTTACCTGGAGTGTTATAGCTAAACATTCTACAGTATTCCAGTGGGTGAATGGCAGCAATGATCATAGCATTAGAGACACTGTAGACCACTGGATAATAATGAAGTTAAGGATCATAATTGTACATTATTAATGATTAATGTACATGTAGTACATGTACATAGCTCAATGAGAAAAAATAATACGAAAAGAGAGGATAGAGAAAGACAGGAGAAATAATGATATATAAGCCTTATGCATTTTTTTTTGGATTTCAACCATTGCTTAAAGTACCCGTAACTTAAAAACTTTAAGTTGGAATCAGCTCAAACTTTCTACACAACATTAGGACATCAATATGTATCAGAAAATGCAATAAAAATTGGGGATAATTTTCAGCCATTTTTTGGAAAAAATAATGGGCTAAGGAATGTGCACAGGGCATTCGGTAGGTACACATAATCCCATCCTCAGTGAGAGTGAACAGGACGCCATTCATCTTCCAGACATTATTATGGAAGAGTGTCATCAAACTGAAAGAACTCCAAGTTTGGTTCTATACTGAAGACTGAAGAGAGAGCCAGAGATTGTTGCTGAGATGAGGAGGAGTGAAGAGTGAGGTGTATTAAAGAACTGTCATTAGCTAGTGGAATGACGTCACCTTTATGAGAACCAAGCACTGTTAGTGTATCAAGACTGGAGCCTATTGAGAGGAGAGAGGAGAATAATTAATAACTAATAACTAATATGAATCATTGATATTGATGGGGAGAAACTTTAAAAAATCATAAGAAATTCAAATTTAATCAGCTCACACTTTCTATGAAACATAAGAACATGTACATGTACAGGCATCAGAAAAAATTATTAAAATGCTGAATTCTTTCTTTTCATTTTTGAAAAAAATTAGCCAAAGTATAGCTAGGGACTTGGGCCCAATTTTTGAGCAAGTTTAAAAAATTGTAAAAAATGTAAATTAGCTCAAAACTTTCTAAACAACATAAGTACATGTCAAGCTGGTAATATCATTCCCTCTCTAACCTTCTCTCAGAGGACAACACCACAAGAAACTGAAGAAAGTCCACTGCACTGAAGTAAGCATAGAATCCATTATCCTCTGCAACAACACTAGGAGTAACTAAACATGCTCCGCCTATCAGCCAAGCTCCCTTATCTTGTATCCACCATTTGTCAACCCAGGAGTAGTACCATTCATCATTACTGATGACTCCCCGTGGTTTTAAGCCAGGCTTAATCACACCCATACCAAACTGAACTGAACTGCTAATGGAAGACCAAGATTAGTACAATACCTTGACTGTAATAATAATGATAATAAAATGAATTAAAATTATTTCTATTCACTAACCATAAAGTCAATAGTTGATACAGTATTCATTGCTGGGTTTGCTGCTTGACAAATAAGTTTGAAGCATCTTCCTATTTCTTTCTTTGAATGATGTGATACAGCACATATTTCTGTGTAGAAATAAAAACAGTTCAATGAATGAATAAATGAAAGAGACAGAGACAAAACTCTTAAATAGTCAATAAAACACAATGCAACTTTGTGGTTACTTTAATCTGCAAACAAATTCATGGCAAAGAGTTAATTGAGTAGTGTACATTCATTATTGTAAAAATGCAGTTAATTGGTATAAATGACTAAATGTAGCCAGGTAGAGACAATTTTACTAGTATTGTATTGTAATGTAGATCTACATATGCATAGAATATACATGTATGTATGTATAGATGTATGCTTACATACACTTACTCAAAATGTATATACATGTAGTTTTATAGTTTATAAAAAAAGGTTTTAAGAAAAAAAGTGTAAAAAGGTCAAAATCTTAATCAGCTGCAAGCTATGAGGTTTTTGACAGTTTCAAATGATAATAATTATGTGAACACTAACACTTAAAACAGGTGTTGCCTCCTTTGTCCCATTACTCATTGTTACATGTACCACTAGAGATCTGTTGGAAGAAGCTTGAGACTGTACAGTAGTGTAGGTTATCAGAGGAGGGGAGGAGGAGGAAAGGAAGAGGAGGAGCTGAGGGAGGTACTTATAGCTAGTGATTTGAAGAGTAAGAATACATAAAGTACTCATTTATTAGAGACGGCAGTTATGTGATGATTGTCAGAAAGGATTGGGCAAAAACTATGATATTAAAAATAATAAAGATTTTGGAGAAAAAAACATGACTACAAGATCTATTTTAATGTTACTTAAAACCATTATTATCAAATTTATTTCTATAAATATTAAGCAGATTGCTGAGGCTGTAAGTGTGCATATCATCATTTCCATTTCCTCTCCCCTTCACCTTAGTTAATCATAATCATGGTGTGTAGGTGTATAGTGTATTAATAATATATTCCCATCCCTATTATGGTAACAATAAATTTAATTAACTGATCACACATTCACAAGATGTCATTGGAGGACAATTGTTGGGTTGCTTTTAGAGAAGGAAATCATAAAGAAGCTGTTTATTTACTACCATTAGTGAAGGAACCAAATAAAATTAAAGGAAGATATATAGGATGGGATAATACTAGTTTACTTCATTTGTCTTCCAGGAATGGCTGGTTAGATGTTACAAAAGATTTCATCACTAAATATCACTGTGACCCACAGGAAAGAGATAGTGAAGGTCAGAATTGTCTTCATTGGGCTGCAGCAGATAATCATGTTGATGTGATGAGATATCTCATTGATGAGTATAACTGCGATCCAGTGGATACTTCATATAGAGCAGATACTGTTCTTCACAGGGCAGCTGCTTGTAAATCACTCGATGCCATGAAGTACTTGATTAATCATCATCACTGTGATCCAATAGCAACTAACAATGAGGATAAGACTGTTCTTCATATAGCAGCCATTAGGAACATCTCACCTGATGTAATCAAATACCTAATCAATGAGTGTAACTGTGATCCAATGGCTGTTGACAAGGAGCAGTGGACACCACTTCACTGGGCTGCTTATTGGGGTCGTTCTGCAGTTGTTGAATGTTTACTATCAACTGGTAAATGTGATCCATTGGCTAAAGACAATAAGGGAAAAACACCATTAGAACTAGCTAAAGACAGGCAACAGAGAGGTGGGGCTAATACTCTTCCTATTTTTACGAAGTTCGGTGGCATAAAATCATCTCATCCAATTGATTCTTATGTTAATGTCCTCCTTGTGGGTAATCCTGGAGCTGGTAAAAGTACTCTTAGTCATGTCATCAATGACACAGCTTGTTTATCTCTTCTTGGTTCCTTTAGAAATGCTGGAGGGGTAGTGCCCTGTACTGGTAGCCTGTCACTATTAGGAGGACGTGATATTAAGGTAAGAATTAACACACAAACTGTTTGATACATTAATGCAAGTAATAATCATCAAAAGGTCATACCTTAAAAGTAATTTATTTCTTTATATAATTGTCATAATTGTGGGTTGTTATCTGACCTTTCTGCAATACACCACTATCTTGATATTGACAAATATCAGTTATAACATGAATCAGGAAATTTATGGGGTACAGGGGTAGAAAATTTTTGCATGGCAAAATGGCTGTTATTTAACTCTTACATAATAAGACTGACATGTATTATTATTGAATGTGGCAAGTACATATGTAATTATACATGTGATGAAATTCTAATCCAGAAGAATTAAAGTCACAATAAAAATTTCCAGATAGACGGTATTATTATTATTATTATTGTATAGGAAGTGATTGAAATAAAGCCTAATGTATTCAACACAGATGTCACTACAATAAAGCTAGGTATGCTATAATATGTATTATCTCAATTGTCAAGTAGTGGGAGTGTAGATTGTGTGTATACATTATTAATTATTATTTCTATAGATATTAAAGATCTTGTTACTATCATTGAAGAGCTAACAATACTTAATCAATTGGATTGCACTAAATGGATTCAGTTTGGACTTCATTTAGGATTATATGATCCTAGACTAAAGACTATAGAAACTGACTATAAAGGAAAGACAGTGGAGTGTTTCCATGAGTGTATGTCTGCCTGGTTAAGAGGAGAAGATAAAGTGAGAGAGAAAGGAGGTCCCAGTTGGTCATCATTAGCTACAGCACTGGATACAATAGAAGAGAAATCTATTGCTACTAATATTAGAGATAAATATTGTAAACCAAAGCAGTTAATTGCCTAGTTCATTAGTTAATTTATTAAATTGTGTGTAATATCATTTACAGTATTTTTCAGGCAGTAGGTGGTGGCTATACTGCTAGCACTGACAGCTTGCTTTGCTAATTAAGTGAAGAAAGGAAGAAATACAGACCATTTCTCTTAGCATTAATGGACTTGGCTTCCTATTATGTCTGTTCATACACGCAGTGGTACCGTCTCACTAGGCAGACCATTCCCCAACCTATAGCTATTTGTGGCTTCGGAAGATATCACATTCGTAGGCATAAAGGGGCTATGCTAGTCATAGGAAGACAAGCATGGATTATACCTCTAGTACCAGCATTATTTATTATTTGGCCTTTAAAAATGTAACTTTTCTTTTACTTTGTTTTGTCGTAACACACATCTTTTTTCTATGTAGGCAGGTGGTGGTGTGAGGGCAGCAGTAATGCAGTGGTACATTTTCACAATCATGCTAGCCATCATTCTCTAAAGAGAACGAAAGATTACTGCAAAATTATATACAGACTATAATTTTCTAATTTCATTTTATTAAAATTTTGAATTCCTTGCTATTTGGTGTATTATACACAACCACAATATTTTAGTAAAGATTGTGGTTGTATATAATACATCAAATAGCAAGGAATTTATGAGAAGACACACTAATAAATCTGAAGAATATTATTAAAATTTTATTCACTCAATTTATATAACCGTGCTGCCAGACATTGCATCAGTTACTCTAAAATCATCTATCGTGTAGTTACATTTATTTGGGTGATTTGTTGCATATATCTACTTGTATCAGGCTTTCTTCTACCATGTGTTATCGTCTAATCAGAAAGTGCTTTATTGTGTTTAAATGTGTATCATTGTCTTTAAAAGACATTTAGCAGTCTTAAAGTATTTACACAAAACATGTAAGTCAAAAAACTCATTTGAAATCACAGCATCGTCACACACATTGCCATTTAGCATTGTGCTCAGGGTGAAGGTGTAGTCAACATAAATGTGATCAATGTAGCTGATTAAATCGTTTAAAAACTTCAATCTTCATGTATCTATAGCTATCTACTTTCAAAGCAAAATCTTGTGTATGTACTCATCTATCCTGTATAGATGTGCAATGTCTGCATGCTGCTTGCTCAGGCTTGCCCCTATCAAGGTATTACAATTACATTCTTCTATAAAAGTTATATCTACTATTGCAACTATTGCAATATAAAATGATGGGTATAGTAAATTCCTTATGTGGACTGGTAACAATGAATCTAATTAATAGTTGCTTCATTTTGTGAGACTATCTAACTAAACACAAGATGCCATTAGAGGACCTGTGTTGGGCTGCTTTTGAGGATAGAGATCATGAAGGAGCTGTTTACTTACTACCATTAGTAAAGGAACCAAATAAAATTAAAAGAAAATATATAGGAAGGGATAATACTAATTTACTCCATTTGTCTTCAGGGTATGGCTGGCTAAATGTTACAAAAGATCTCGTTACTAAATATCACTGTGACCCACAGGAAAGGGGTGAAGGTGATAGTTGTCTTCATTGGGCTGCAGTAGGTAATCATGTTGATGTGATGAGATATCTCATTCATGAGTGTCACTGTGATCCAATGGAGACTGATAAGTATGGAGATACTGTTCTTCACAAAGCAGCTAATAAAGGATCACTTGATGTCTTGAAGTACTTAATCAATTATTGTCACTGTGATCCAATGGCTACTAACAAGTGGGGTGAGACTGTTCTTCATCGTGCCGCTGAACAAATTCATATTGTTAGGTATCTCATTAACGAGTGTCAATATAATCCAATGGCTACTGACCCTAACAGCATGACAATTCTTCATAATGCAGCTATAAGCAACTCACCTGATGTAATCAAGTATCTAATCAATGAGTGTCACTTAGATCCAATCACTGTTAACTGGATGGGGCAGACACCTCTACACATTGCTGTTGATAAGGGTTATTCTGCAGCTGTTGAAAGTTTACTATCAACTGGTAAATGTGATCCATTGGCTAAAGACAATAAGGGGAAAACGCCATTACAACTAGCTAAAGAGGCAAAGCAGAAAGGCAGGATTAATACTCTTCCTATCTTCAAAAAGTTTGGTGATATAAAATCATCTCATCCAATTGATTCTTATGTTAACGTCCTCCTTGTGGGTAATCCTGGAGCTGGTAAAAGTACTCTTAGTCATGTCATCAATGACACAGCTACTGGTTCTATTGCTCTTGGTTCCTTTAGAAATGTTGGAGGGGTAGTGCCCTGTACTGCTGGCATCATTCCTTATAAACTAGAACATAGGACACTGGGTAACATCGTTCTTCATGATTTTGCTGGTCATTCCGAATACTACTCCAGTCATGGTGCTGTCATTGAGAATCTGTTACAAGGTTCTGGTGGTGTGTTCCTGATAGTAGTTAATATATTAGAGCAGGAACCAGTCAAACAGCTTCATCAGTGGCTAACAGTTGTCAGAAATGAAGCACAGAAAGCTCTTAATCAATGCCATGTTATTGTAATAGTCAGTCATGTGGATGAGATAAGTAATCCTGTTGAAAAGAGAAGGAGAAAGGAGGAAATACAGGGGATCATTGTAAGGGAAAGGTGCAATAGTGTCTTCTTAGATTGTCGTAAGCTTGGTGGGAGTGGTGTGGATTC